TAGTGTGTGTGTGTGTGTGTGTGTGTGTGTGTGTGTGTGTATGTGTGTGTGTGTGTGTGTGTGTGTGTGTGTGTGTGTGTGTGTGTGTGTGTGTGTGTGGGGGGGGGGGGTTGTTAAGTGTGCGCACTCTCGCGTGTGTTATTTCTCATCGACAAAGATTTCACGTGACAGAACAACAAGTTCAAGTTCAAGTATCAAGCGGCCCCAGCTCTCCGCGGAAGTGTGGTAATGCGTTATTAATATGCGCGAAGGTAGCGAAAGTGTTTCCACGTCAGGTGTCGCCGTTGTTATGGTGACGTTAACGGCGCGTCACTAACGACCCGGCCTGACATTAACTCGTGACGACATGCCTTTAGATAATTAACTAGACAGACCATTAATCTTTAACCGCGGAGATGGAGTGTAGGAATTCTAGAACGGCGCCCTGACATTCGTTGGCGTTTGCAATGACACGCGTGAATCGAACTCTCACTGTCAATGCTGGTCGTTATATGCCTTACACATGCACACACACAGAACCCTCGCGCATGCATCTTGTCTCGTATTTGCCGAAAGACACTAACTGATATAGGCCTATATATATATATATATTAGAGCGGTCTTTCTTTGCCGAGTACGTCTCGTTATATTAAAATTATATTATAATAAATATATTATACAACGCGCGCACGAATACACGTACGAGCGCACATACCAACCACATATATATTATACAGATATTACATACCCATCGGCATCAATTAGCATCTGTTCTCCCATTCCCATGCCGTCCCGGGCAATACAGTTACTGATGACGGAACCATACACCTCTGAAAAAGGTAACAGCACATTCGAAACCGTTTCTATATTCGAGTTTATAGATCGTAGTTTTCAGGTTGATGTCTCTATTGTGTTCTTATGTTAAGCTTGTTGATGTAGTTTCTAGATAGTAGGTCATAGACTACAGCTTCCACATTTCAATCGGTTTATTGCAGTTCTCATATTTCAATTCGTAGAGTTTTATATCTGTCAAGAAAATCCTAAGCTCGCTCGTATAGAATTTTCCGTTTCGCATGCTATCAATGATCGTCTTGTTCAGAAAACGAAAGCCGCGGAGTGGGTTGCATCTGCCTTCACGACGGCATAATCAGTTTATGAATACCAGCGCTGCCGGCTTTCGCTGGCTCGAATTATCCGCAGCAGCAGTGGAAGATTGCTTCTTCACAGCTCGTTGATGACGGGTTGCTACTGGCAGACTCCTTTTGCGCATATGAAATATTCACCTCGCGTGCTAACAACGCTGACCTACATCTACATCTAGCTACTATAGTAGACGCGAACAGCGCTGCCTATCGACGCAGCCAGGTAGCGCGCGACCTGATAGATACACTCGGCTACCTGTCGCCGCGCCTTCCTTCGGGCGACGCAGGCGTGGTCTGCGTCTCTGCGATTCTGTGCTCTGAGAGTCGCGCCTAGCCTGGGAGGAGTGTAGGTCAATCTCAGTTTCATCGCGGCTGTCTCATCGAGTCAGTCTCAATCTCATCGAGTGTGTGTGTGTCATCGAGTCAATCTCTAGTCTCATCCGCATGACAATACGCTTGATTGTCTTGTTCGTTGTTTGTCGCCTCAGACTGATTTCGATTTCATAGAGACGAATTCATAAGTGAAGCAACAGGCCGAAACAAGAGTCGACCAAACAATAGCGCAGATTGTGCGGAGATATCGCATCTGTATATAGCATCTAGAGGCTATGCGAGAGTACGCTTGCATTATGTAGAATCTTACTGAGTGCCAAATTACGTGATCTGGAAATTTGCCCATTGAAATGCAAGACGTTGTCGACCATAATATATTGACATATATATATATATATATATATATATATATATATATATATATATATAATTACGTATCACGACCTTAATTTTCAATCTATCTCGATATAATCTATAAACATGTAACCGACCTATTCGCCTGCAAGAGATAACCAAGTCCGCTTGAATATTGTTGCTAGCTAGATCAAGATAGTCACGTAAAACGCGCTTTCCTCGAGTACACGCCTTTGCGTCACCTGGTCGCTAAGCATTATTTTTTAGAACGGTTGTATCGTAGTGGTGCAACAACAACAACAACAACAACAACAACAACAACAACAACAACAAAACAGCAGCAGCACCCGCACTACCTGTACCACCACTACCATGCCCCACCTGTACCACCTGCAGCAGGTGGAACAACATCGATCAGCAGGTAGAGATCCCTTACCGCTGGGTCCCATCGTGATCATGAACGTGAGCTCGGTGCCAAGAGAGACAGCTCCGTCGACGAGTCGTCCGTCGGGTCCTCCCATCAGAATGATCAACTCGCAAGATGGCATCTCCGGCGCAGCCGACGGAAGCAGTGTCGTCTGCACCATTCTGTAACCAAACACAAACACACGCATGGTTAAAAAACACAAACACAAACACACGCATGGTCAAAAAACACAAACACAAACACACGCACGCATGGTTAAAAAACACAAGCACAATCACACGTATGACGAAATTAAACAGTTTCTGTCATGTTAAACTTTGTTCACGATAATAAATACTTCAATCGTCAATCCTATTTTGCTGGTTTCTCTTCTTGATTGTTTACTGCGCTCGTGTCAGGCGTAGTATTACTCCAAACTTACTAGGAAGTTTTACAGGGTAACCGGTGACCCACACGCGCATGCTCGCCAGTCACAGCTTCTCTGCTATTAGTCTCTAGTTATACAGCCTGTTCTGCTAGCATCTATGACAAATACGGCATACGAATATACGCTCTCCTATGACAAATATTGTTGTATGTGTTGTGCGCATCATTGGAGTTTAGTAGCGCTATTATGAACGCAAGCAGTGAATTTCAGCTGTAAAGCGGAACGAAGTTGACTCGCCAATATTTGTCATATGAATAATCTTCCTATACTAAATAGTGTCATAGGGAGAGCGTATATGCGTATGTCGTATTTATCATCGATGTAAGCAGAACATGTTTAGTTATAGATACACGCGTGCTCACTTACTCAACGGTCACATCGCTTGATACGGTCTTCTCGCCTAGCGCATAGTTGCAGTGTACTCTGTATGCAAGGTCCTGACCTGTCACCAGCATCGGATGTCTTTGGAAGACGATGACATTGTGGTACTCCAGGTTATTATTCGCCTGTAAATGTCGAAGACGAGATGTTCTCTGCTATTGCGGTATGAATACATTGCGAAGCGAATATAATAGCTGTGGTCACGTCATGCACGCCTGATAATTTTGTGATTCCCACGACATTCAACGTGAATTCTGTGCCAAATAGCAGTGTGATTTATATTTTCTTTAGCTTCTTTATCTTATAGCTTTAGATCTAGTCACGTAGTGGAGTAATGACAGAGACGCTTTGCTAGAGTAATTATTATTATTATTATTATTATTATTATTATTATTATTATTACTATTATAAATAATATTGTTGTTGTTGTTGTTATTATTATTATTATTATTATTATTATTCATACTAACATCACTTTCTTGGTTCCTTATCGTGGCGCAGCCAAAGAGAGACACCGTGAAGCTGACTGATCTGTCTCCAGAGCCATTGAGACTGCAGTTGGAAAACTTTGACAGACCTTTCGGGTAAACTCTACCGACGAATGGCTCCCTAAACTCAGCCGTCACCGTGATGTCATCAGCATTGCACACAACCTGTGGCTTCTCTGTAAAGAGTTGTCGAGAATGGTTCAATGTCGAAAAAAAATTGCTCATGTGGTTAGCGCATTTCGGTCATTGTCAATGCGCACATTAAAAACATTATGCACATTAATACTTTTGAATAATTATGCAAATAAGTAAATTTCCATCATTACACAATATATACAGCTAGAATGAGTACTATTGGTGCTAGATGCAGAAAGGTCGTGGCAAGCACTCGTATTTGCGTTGTGATTTTCGTGCGTTTGCTTTGTACAATGTGCAGCATATGCGAAATGTCATCGCAAACGCGGAAGGTTTTCGTACGTGAGGGCTCGCCCTGGTGGTTATCGTGTTTATTTGCGTACGCCGTTTGTGTACACGTCATTAACACTCGCCATTGCGCTTGTTTCCGTTCATAATAATTCCCAATCTGTCTAGATATACAGATTTTTTATGACATGGGTAGGCGCGTGCCAGTGTAAACATACCAACCATTTAAATATTTCTAAGTGTCTAGCGCAAGACAAAACGCGGGCTTCCATTGCGAAAATAGTCAGCGCATAGAAAAGAGGCAACTCGAATGCGTTTTTGCTTTTTCTCCTCTTCGAAAGTAAGAGTGAATGACCTTTTTCAAAACGGAAACGCGCCAAAACGCCATTTAGCCATGCAACGCTTGGCAGAATGAACAATGAGAGCCATTCACGCGCTAAGTTCTGATAGTAATAGCTCGTTCAGTGTACAGTACCAGACAGGGAACGACGTGCAAACACACACACACACACACACACACACACACACACACACACACACACACACACACACACACACACGCGCGCGCGCGCGCAGAGATCGATGGATTGCTGTATTGTGGGCTTAAGCAGTCCTGTCTCTGATTATACCCGAGCGGAAGCGTGGCACAACCGTTTATAACGCGCGTGTTTCACTTGATCGCACGGCAGTGACGATGCAACTGGTGCTAATCTCACTGGCGGCGCTTGCTGGACGTCCGCCAGGAGCTGTTGGTGACCGGACGGGCCGGGCCGGGGGGGAGGCGGACGGCATCCGCAAACAGCGAACATCTCGAGCACACTGCATGCACTCCGTATATCCGCGGCTGTATAATATACTATCTTTCTAATTCATTATTCTCTTCGTCTGCTGTTAGAAACCTGTTTAACGTCGCGCTGTGCGGACGGACCGACACGAAATAGAAACAACAACAAGCATCGCCCCTCCTTCACCCCCACCTTCCCCACCCACGGCGAGACACGGCCAGTGAGCTGCCTAAACATCCCACGTTAAAAAAATGACGTCAAAAAAAATGGGTGCACCTGCTGAAACCGCGGGCGCGCGTGCGTACAGGGTCGCGCGCTATCGGGCGTGCACGCGCCGCGCCGAACGCACGCATGCACCCACCGCCGTCCAGCCAGTTGTCGGTAGTGTAATAGCTAGGCGACGAAATTCCAACTTTCTCCGCTAAGTGGTTTAGAAGCGTGGTGTGGGGACGACATTCCGTACGGCTCGCCTCAACGTCTTAAATGGGCAAGCGAGAAGACCTGTTATGTCGATGCGCGAGGCATCTCACATACACACACTGCGCAACACACGCATACTCACACACACACACACACCACACACACACACACACACACACCACACAACACACACACCACACACCACACCACACACACACACACACACACCACCACACACACACACCACAACACACAACACACACAACACACACCCACACCTAAACACACACGACACACACACAAACACGTCAGCGCGCGCCGCGCCGCCGCACAGAGAGAGCGCCGAGCATTTTTCAGCAGATTCCAAATACCAGTACTAACAAACATATTGGTCCGACTATATTACACGACGATGATAAATAATAATAAGTTACAATTGCATTCTTCGCTTGCCACTCTCTGATACGCCCACCTTTCTAATACGTCTTTCGAGAGACGACGTCGAATTAAAGGCGAGGCATAACTGCATGTATATTGTTACAGTTATATAGCGCCGGCTTATGGGCTCGAATGTATTAGTATACGTGCCCAAAAACATATAAAAACAGCTATACGCGTGTTACAGCCGGACACGCTATGACCCCGCACACAACAATACACAGTAAAGTAAAAAACTGGAAGAACTAGATGTAGCACCTACATTAAGCTAAAACTACAGGGTATAAAGATCTGCATTTGCAGTTTTCTATAGCTCGGTTCACTCGGTTAATACGAACGATAACAAATGGTTACGAAGCGATATTATTAATTGGTACAGAAGAAACGCATGATTAAAAGACAAATACAGATAACTCGTACTCTTGCAAAAAGTATGCGCTTGCGATATAGGTAGTTTGAGACACGCTACCAGACTGATGTTACGAAAATAAGAACGTAACTACACTCAATAGCCTTTGTTACGAATGTTATGTCTGAGATCGTACCATCTTCGCTTTTTCACTAGCAAAAATTTATGGTCTCTTCGAGGGTTATGCCCTGTATCACTCTATTCTTACCACGCCACGACGCTGGCGTTTGATTCATCTACCCTTACACTGTCTGATCTTGTTGAATCGAATATCTCAGCACCCGTGTACATCCCATGTACACAGGTCGCCAGATCCAGAGTTTATGCCACAGATCGGTTATCGGGTGAACTACTTGCGTCGATGAATCATATTCGATGCGATAATTGTGCCTAACGCAATGTATATAACTCTATAATTGCTTAATCCGCTCTCTACTCGGCCATGCCAGCAAGCAATTTCTTACGGGACAGATATAGCAGTAGGATTTACTTCGCTCTGCGGTTGCAGCAACGCGATGACTACTGGTCAACGGCCTAGGTGGCTTACCTCTACTGGGGAAATTGTTACTCAACACGCCGACACACAGACATACACACACACACACACACACACACACACGTATATAGGTATATAACACGTTTGTAGCAGGTAAACGAAGATTCATCAACGATTATCTTTGATACTATGACGTTATAAACGTGCGTAACGACTCATGCAGCAGTGAGTATATGGCGGGCTGGGCCGTGGGGGTTGTCCTTTGTTACTCTTTCATCTTCTTGTTTAATTTCGCTACGTCTCATTCGTTTCTATTCTCCACGCGACGCTGCGTTCCATCTCTTTTCAATTCGCTCGATTTTGCGTCGAAATTACTTCACGAACACTGTCATATTTATTACCTATACCTACAAACTAACACATTCCGCATGTCGCGTGTTTTCAGCTCATCTTTCTTTCTTTGTAAATTGTAATATTTTCGTCGCTTCTCGTCGAACAATCGCCTTGTTCATCCTCATGGAAACGAGACGCGCAGCCTTTTTTAATGGCGTCCAAAATTTCAATGACGGCCATATACAGATACAATAGAGAACACGCATCAATAAAACTGTAGATCGACTTTAAATTTCTGGATGCGCCCATCCAGCATTCCGACGGCGTGAATAGATCGACCGCACCTGCCGCCGACGGCTCTCACTCGAAGTGAAAGTGCCTTCATTGTAACGCGGAGCTCGACCGATGGTCGTGGGGAAAACAGTCGCTGCGTGGCAGTAGCCTTGGAATGGAGTGGCGGGTGGGGAAGGTGGGAGAGTGGGAGAGCACGAACAGCACTAATGGTGCGCGCACATGCTGGGTGAACAGGTTTCTCCCGCAGCAGCTCTGTCGCTGCGGCTCACGGCGAATGAACGCGGTTAAAGGCACCCGTCGGATAATACGCGCTCTTTGTCATAGCCTCGCTCGCTGCGGCCGCGCGGTCGGCGCATGCGCGCTGACGTTTCCGTTGACCCAATTTGACCCGGCCGCGGTTTGCGCGCGACAATGGGCCAGCGCACACTTGTAACTTTCCCTGCTGATTCCGTGTCAATGGGAGCCGGCTCCCCCGAGAGGAAACACGTCGTTATAGCTATAGAACAGGGATTTCTCCTCGATCTAGATAGGGCGATTCATAGAATGTCCATTATCCGTTGATAGCACTTGCGGGTTCAGTGAAACATATTCTATATAAAGCTGTGCACAGTCATTGTGATCGACTGGTGCATGTGTGAGAGAAACATATATATGGCCTACGTACCGACAAGGTCTTGGCACCACGCCCCAACGGCGAGCTGTAATGAGAAAACAGAATGTCACATGAATGTCACAGAAAGCAGTGACGTCATAATATAAAGAAATATAGCGAGCCATAGTGAGTGAAAAATAAGAAAGAGAGGCGAGACTAAGAAAGAGGGAGAGATCAAGAGAGAAAGAGAGAGAGAGAGAGAGAGAGAGAGAGACAGAACTCGTACGCGCTAACCCTATTCTATTGTATCTGTGTGGATTTTATGAAGGCACACATAAAATGTTCACCGACGTAAACATTGCATGGTAATGACGCGCCAATACCATCAACCCAATGAAATGCGAGCAATTCTAAAGTTAGAACCTACCACAACAATATCTACAGTCGGTCGTTGCAGCCACACTGGCGCATAATTATTCGATACACGTCAATACGCAATTCACGTCCGCACATTTTTATTTGTTTTCGATCTTCCTGAATCGCCGTAAGCGTGATATTCGCGTACCATGAAGGGTAATTGTGAGACGCTCGATTTCAATCAAACGTTATATAGTAAACTAATTAGTTACCCTATATATATTCTGAACATAAATATTTTAGAACGCACTGTTTGTGAGTGTGGTAATAAAATATTTCATTTGCTCTGGGGCAGCATTGGCATTGGCGTTGGTGTTAGTGTTGGTGTCGGTATGTATGTTGCTAATTATGTCGCATTATAATTATTACGATTACTCAATAACATAATAAAAGTCGGCACACCTTAGTGTGTGCGTGCGCGCGTGTTGTTATCACTCGTTACTTACCAGCAGCACAACCAATGTGTAACGGAGCATCTTGTGTGAATTTTGAACGATACCGGTGTTCTGTAAGATAAGAAAAAGAGAAGTGTTACGCAAACAACAAGTTACGATCTACACCGCGAAGTTATATGGCATAAGAAAAACCAACGACCGTATAATTACACGTTTTCGTGGCACATTCCATACAAATAACCTAGTTTTACCTATAGAATAAGGATGCGTTGTTCTCCGCAAATGTCATTCGGGTTTCAGGGATTTGCTCTCGTGTTATCTCGCAGCCGCACCTCCTTACAAAACCTCATAGATCGATTAATTATATTATACGCTTGTATTTTTTTGTGTAGTGCATGGCGCCAGCGCGCTTGTTTAGTGTTACGGCAATGAGTGCTGAACTGTGAAGCAATATTTCATGGCCAATGCATAGAGGGCCGCTTACATTAATATGCCCGCCGCGATAGCAATTTCGCGAACCTACCATCCGTTCTAATACCATACACTGCATGGATGGCAATGAATCTAGCGAGCGAACGAGAGGGGAGATGGAGAGAGATCGATGGATGCTGTATGGTGGCCTTAAGCAGCCTGTCTCTGATTATACACCGGCAGGGAAGCGTGGCACAACCGTATAACGCGCGTGTTTCACCTTGATCGCACCGGCAGTGACGATGCAATGTGTAATTCGCTGGGTGGGAGTGCGGAGTGTGTGAGGACGGCGGGCGGGGAGGGGAGGGGGGCATCGTAAACAGCGAATCTCGAGCACACTGCCATCGACTCCTATAACGCGCTGTATATATACTATCTTCTATCTTCTCTTCGTCTGCTGTTAGAACCTGTTTAACGCGCCGCTGTTGCGGACGACCGCACGAAATAAAACCGACAACAAGATCCCCCCTATCCACCCCCACCTCCCCACCCACGGCGAGACACGGCCAGTAAGCTGCTACATCCCACGTTAAAAAATGACCGTAAAAAATGGGTGCACCTGTTGAAACGCGGCGCGCGCGTGCGTACAGTGCGCGTACGGCGCACGCGCGCACGAACGCACGCATGCACCCACGCGCCTAGCCCAGTTGTCGGTAGTGTAATAGCTAGGCGAGAAATTCCAACTTCTCCCGTAAGTGGGTTAGAAGGCGTGGTGTGGGGACGACATTCCGTACGGCTCGCCTAACGTCTTAAATGGGAAGGAAGAAGACCTGTATGTCGATGCGCGAGGCATCTACATACACACACGCGCACACACGCACACACACACACACACACACACACACACACACACACACCAAGTATAAGCAAACATATTGGTCGACTATATTACACGAGATGATAAATAATAAATAAGTTACAATTGATTCTCGTGCACTCTCTGATACGCCCCTTTCTAATACGTCTTTCGAGAGAGACGTCGAAATTAAAGGGGAGGCATAACTGATGGTATACTTGTTAAGTTATATAGCCCGCTTATGGCTTCGAATAGTATTAGTATACGTGCCAAAAACATATAAAACAGCTATACGCGTGTTAAGCAGACACGCTATGACCGCAACAACAATACACAGTAAAGTAAAAACTGGAAGAACTAGAAGGTAGCACACGATTAAGTAAAACTACAGGGTATAAAAGATTGCATTTGAGTTTTATAGCCTCGGTTATGGTTATACGAACGATAACCATGGTTACGAACGATATTATTATACGTACAAGAAAACGATGTTTAAAAGCAAATACAGATAACTCGTACTCTGCAAAAGTATGCGCTGCGATATAGGTAGTGAGACACGCTACCAGACTGTGTACGAAAAAGAACGTAACCTAACTCAATAGCTTTGTTACGATGTTATGTCTGAATCGTACCATCTCGCTTTTTCACTAGCCAAAAATTATGGTCTCTTCGAGGGTTATGCCTTATCATTATTCTTACCACGCCACGACTCTGGCGTTTGATTCATCTACCCTTACACTGTCTGATCTGTCTGAATCGAATATCTCAGCACCCTTGTACATCCCATGTACACAGTCGCAGATCCAGAGTTATGCCCACAGATGGTTATCGGGTGAATACTTGCGTCGATGAATAATATTCGATTGCATATTGTTGCTAACGCTAATGTATAACTCTATAATTGCTATAATCGCTCTCTACTGGCCATGCCAGCAAGCATTCTACGGGACAGTATAGCAGTAATTTACTCGCTCTGCGGTGCAGCAACGCCGATGACTACTGGTCAACGCTAGTGGTTACTCTACTGGGGAAATGTTCTCACACGCCGACACACAGACATACACACACACACACACACACACACACACGCACACTCACACACGCACACACACACACACACAACACAACGAACACGCTGGCGCGCGCGCACATACGACAGACACGCCCGCACACTCACACGCACACTCACACACGCACACACACACACCACACACACACACACACACACACACACACACAACACACACACATACCGACACACAGGTAACAGCAGTCGGCGCTGCGTCATTAGTTGATGACGTAGACAATGCACGTGGGCGTCTGCTACGCGATCGAACCACTTCTTAAATTCATTAGCGCACCCATTACCACGATGCTCGCACTGTGCTGGTGGCCAATGCCACCGCAGTGCACGCCTGCTCGACCCCAAGCTATTGTCGGCAAAATAAAATAGCTAACCCCTTCTTCTAATTGTACATTCCCCGCGCATTGTGCGACCAGCGCCCTTTGTCTTTAAACACCTGTCTCCTTGGGCCGCTTTGACTGAGGAAGCGTGGGGGTGGTGGTCGTTGCAGTGGACAGCGATAGGGAAAGTCTTAAGACTGCGCGGCGGATAGATGATTTAGGGGAATTGGTGTCGTGACCCACATCTTTTCGATTCAAGCGCAGTCGTCGTGCGTCTTGCGTAACGCTTCGTTTCAGAGACCACGTGACTCTTTGTCGGCGTCTTAAGGCGCGCTCTGCATTCATTATTCGATGGTCAGCGAGAATTATCCTGCAGCGCCATGCACTGCCCGCGAAAGTGAAATTAAATGAAAGTAAAAGAGGAAGGGGCGTAATAATAGACCTTATGTAATCGAATGGAATGTTAACAACGGACAGGGACATCTCGAGGGTTCGTTAATTAGTAATTAGAAAGCATGCTGTCGCGGTAAACGTTAAATGATATCGCACGGCGGTTAGCGCTTCAGGAATTCTGCAGCCGAAGCGTGGAGCGATGACGAACGAACGGACGCCGAATGACATTATACGTTATTCTCGCTTAGTTATGGCATATTCCTCGTGTTCGTGAGAGGTGATAGGTATACAGCAATCGCGCATTCGCACAACATTTCGAGCTATTTGTCAAGGTTCACTGTGGGGCGGTCCCGATACAAAACGCGCCTTCAGAGAAATCTACTTGGGCGAAAAGGACGACGTTAACGCAGCGCGGATTTATTGGTCGGGCTGTTTGAACCGGTTGCTTCTTGCAAAATGGCCTTCTCAGTCCAATTTCTGTAAATTAGTCTCGGCAGCCCAGTCTAGCGTCGATGTGTGTAGCAGACGATGTGTGGGCGGCACGTTTTCGCGCGATATAGGGTAAGCTGACGCCAGACTTACGACGCTTCAGCCGTCGTTTTGTAGCCGTCACGCTGCGAGCGCATTTTCTACTTTCCATTTTTATTTTCTTTGGCGCGCGCGCACGCAAGTGGCTCGATATAGCAAGCACGCATAGCGAGAGATGACCAACAACCAAATATCTTTTGCGCGCGCTCCTGAAAAGAAGGCGGACGGGTAAAGTTGGCGACCTTGTCCGAGTTTTTGGTCACAGTTCTCTCTATACAGCGTACATGCTACACGCGCGTATAGACGCACATACGGTGTTCACACGGCGGCCCTAATACCGACGGTGACCCTAGCCTAAAACAGCTACCATCACCGTGCTAGAGCGTCAGCAAATAAACACACGCGGGCATGCTCTCTCCCGTTATCTCAGAAAGAAGTAGAGAGCTGATTGTGCGTGTGAAAGTAAATGGTTGCGCGCGTGAGTATGGTTAGGCGCATTTATCGCTGACGTTTCGATCACTAGTGCACGTATAGACGTTTGAACTAGGCCTGGCTATTCGGTTTGCGAACCAATTCGGTACAAGCCCCCTCACCTAGTGCGAAAACACTTGATGATTTGAATTTGGGACGGTAAAACAATTTGAATGCTCGCGGGAACGGTAGCTGCCGTTTAACATAACAGTGTTATGCTCTACTAGCACCGATGCTAGTATTCCGCACTATCCTGCGTTGGTGAAATGTCTCCAATAAAATAAACCACAATACTTTAAACAAATCGGCTCCAGATGAAACAACGCAGGCGTTATTGCTAAAAGTTCTACACACACGACATATAATATTAATCTTTAACATCTTAATAACAAATAATAGTTACGTCGACTGTGTGAAATGCCCAACCATTTTGGTAAGACACCCCCTTATATATATATACTGCGATAGTTAGACGGGCGAAGGTAGTGGTAGTCTATAGGTTAGGTTAGATTATCTAGATACGACAAACTAATGCACCCTCATCACCCGCAATACTCATACATCACGCCAGAAACTTTCCGATAATTACTCTTTATAACTAAGGAAATTCCGCATGCCATCGTATATGCAAATTATTGCAAATGTAGTGCCGACTTTCAGCGAAAAAATGCCAAAAAAGCACTTTTCTAGAGACGAAAGAATAATGCGATACCGATCCATTCTCTGCATATCGGCGTGCGTGCTGTGCAGTGCGTGCGTGCGTGCGGTGCCGGTGCGTGGCGTGCGTCCGCGTGCGTGTGCGTGCGTGCGTGCGGGCTGGCCTTCCGGGTGTGTGCGTGGTCGTGTGTGTGTAGTGCGGTGCATGTGTGTGTGTCGATGATAGCGAGTGAGTGGCCGTTGCCGTGTGCGTGCGATGTGTGTGGCGTGGTGTGTGGCGCTGTGTGCTGCGTGTTGTGCGCGCGTTGTGTGTGTGTGTGTGTGCGTGGCTATGGTGTGGTGTATGATGTGCGTGTGCGTAGTGCATGCACGTGTGTGCTAAAGCAAGGAG